GAGTCCTCGAGATGAGGCTGGTGAGGAAGCTGTAGAGGGAGGTACCAGTATGATTAATGAACAAGCCAGTTTTGCTGTAAACAAACTACGAGAACTAAATGAGAAGCTTGAATATAAAAGGCAAGCTCTAAATTCTATTCAAAATGCACCAAAACCTGACAAGAAGGTAACTTTTTGCTTTCAAGATTGTCTTTGAAAAGTTTCCATTTGTCTAATTTGGTAGAGGAGTTTTTCCTTTCTGTTGAGAGGCATTCATTCCTTTAAAAAAATTTTGTTTTAAACTGTGAGCAAGTTCCATTGTTATTTTTTTACTCCTAGGATAGAATTATAAAAGCATTTGTTTTTAATCTTTATGATATGGAGTTCTTAGCCAACTGTGAGAAACTGTTCTTTGTGTCTGGCCCACAGTGCTTTTGGGGAAGGGGGTTAAGCTTTCTCTTGTGCTAAAGTCATTTCTGGAAGTAAGTTAAAGTCTCAAGGACAATCTTTTGGGGGGAAAAAGGTTTGTTTTCTTTCAGCTACAAGTACAATTTAAAGAACTTCACAGAATTATGCAAGAAATAGTCTTGCTTAAGGCTAATAGGATTTGACAGTTTAAAAATGTGAAGATTGTCCCATTAGTTGGCATTTCTCAAACCTAAGCTATGGTGTGGCTTTTATCTTTGTGTTTATGCCTCTTTGGAGTTCAGCAAAGAGATTTAATATAGATTTGGCTGGTTCTTGGTCTGCCAGATTGGTTTCCTTTGGCACTTTCTGAAGGTGTGTTTGAGGGTTTCAAGCAAGTTCAATAGGAAAGCAACTTGGAATAAAATAATTTCCATGAGTTATACTGGGTTTCCTATGAACATGAGCCGGAGGCTTTTGAACCATCTTTAGTATTTATGGCTTTGAGCCAGAGTCTTACTCTGTCATCCGGCCTAGCAAGAGTGCTGCGGCCTTAGTCAAGCTCACAGCAACCTCAAACTCCTGGGCTCAAGTAATCCTCCTGCCGCAGCCTCCAGAGTAGCTGGGACTACAGGTGCCCACCACCACTCCTGGCTAGTTTTTCTGTTTTTAGTAGAGATGGGGTCTCATTCTTGATGGGGCCTCAAACTGGTCTTGAACTCTTGAACTCAAGGAATCCTCTTGTCTTGGCCTCCCAGAATGCTGGGATTACAGGCCTGAGTAACTGCACCCAGCCTATTTCATTCCTTTTAAAGGCTGAACAATATTTCATTGCATGTTTATACATTTTTTTTTTTACCATTCATCCATCAATAGACATTTGATTTGCTTCCACTTTTTGGCTGTTGTGAATAATGCTGCATATGGGTATACAGGCATCTCTTAAAGAACTTGCTTCAGTTCTTACAGGTTTATACCCACAAGTAGGATTGCAGGGTGATATGATAATTCTTTTCTTGGTTTTCTGAGGACCCATCATTCTCTTGCATGTGGAGTTTCAGTTTTCCCAGCACCATTTGTTGAGAAGACTGTCCTTTCCCCATTGAGTAGTCTTGGCTCCCTTGTGGAAAATCTTTTGACCACATGTGAGATTTTGTTTCTGGGCTTATTCCATTGGTGTGTGAGGGATGTCCAGAAAGTATCCAGCCATGTACTGTGATAGACACATGCATGCTGGATACTTTCCACACAGTCCTCATATATGTCCTTTTTTTTTTTTTTTTGGTGGGGTGTACAATATGCTGATTTTATATATAATTTGAAATGTTTATGTCAAACTGGTTAACATAGCCTTCATCTCACTTAATTATTGTGTTAAGACTTTTATACTCTAATAGATATACTCTTTTATACTCTGAATAGATTTGACATGTACCCTTACAATATGCACCATAGGTGAGGTCCCACCAATTACTACCCAGCCTCCCCCTCCCCTAACCCTCCTTTTCCCTCCTTCATCCTGGGCGGTAGTTGTGTTTTATCTTTCCTATAAAAATGTGGGTGATTGTATGTTGGTTTCATAATAGTACTGAGTACATTGGATACTTTTTCTTCCATTGTTCCAGCTCTAGCCATGTAAACATAAAAGAGGTAAAGTCTCCATCTTTTTTAAGGCTGCATAATATTCTATGGTATATATATGCCACAATTTATTAATCCATTCATGGGTCAGTGGGCACTTGGGCTTCTTCCATGACTTGGTAATTATGAATTGGGCTGCAGTAAACGTTCTGGTGCAAATATCTTTGTTGTAAAATGATTTTTGGTCTTCTGGATATATACCTAGTAGAGGAATTGCAGGATTGAACAGCAGGTCTACTTGTAGTTCCCTAAGGGTTCTCCAAACTTCTTTTCAAAAGGAACGTATTAGCTTGCATTCCCACCAGCAGTGTAGAAGTGTTCCCTTCTCTCCACATCCACGCCAACATCTGTAGTTTTGGGATTTTGCTATGTGGGCTACTCTTACTGGAGTTAGATGATATCTCAGATTGGTTTTGATTTGCATTTCTCTGATAATTAAAGATAATGAGCATTTTTTCATGTGTCTGTAGGCCATGTGCTTGTCTTCTTCAGAGAAGCTTCTGTTCAAGTCTATTGCCTACACTGAAATGGAATCGCTTATTCTTTTCTTACTAATTAGAGTTCTCTGTGCATGCTCATTATCAAACCTTTGTCAGAAACATAACCTCCAAATATCTTCTCCCTTTCCGAGGGCTGTCTGCTTGCTTTACTTACTGTGTTCTTGGCTGTGCAGAAGCTTTTTAGTTTGATCACATCCCAGTAATGTATTTTTGGTGTTGCTTCAATTGCCCAGGGAGGGGTCCTCCTCATAAAATATTCACCCAGACCAATTTCTTCAAGTGTCTCTCCTGCACTCTTTCCAAGTGTCTTTATAGTTTCATGTCTTAAGTTTAAATCTTTTATCCAGTAAAAATGAATTTTTGTTAATGGTGAAAGGTGTGGGTCCAGTTTCAGTCTTCTACAAGTCACCAGCCAATTCACCCAGCACCATTTGTTAAATAGGGACTCTTCCCCCAGTTTATGTTTTTCATAGGCTTATCAAAGATCAAATAATGATAAGTGGCTGGGTTCATCTCTTGGTTCTCTATTCTGTCTCATATATGTCTTTATGCCAGTTTTATGTGCACCTTTTGGAAAGAAGTTTGGAGAACACTTAGGGAACTAAAAGTAGACCTGCTGTTCGATTTTAATTACTATAGCTTTGTAGTAGTTTTTGAAGTCAAGAAATATGAACCCTCCAATTTTTTTTTCTCAAAATTGTTTGCCTAGTTGGGGTCCCTTGGGATTCTATATGATTTATAGGATAGATTTTTCTATCTCTGCAAAAAGGTCATTGAAATTTTGTTGAGGGATTGCATTAGACCTATAAATTGGTTTGGGTAATAGTTGACATCTTAACAATATGAAGTGTTCTAATCTGTGAACTTGGATGCCCTTAGAAATTATTTCTTTTCTAATTTTTTTCACCAATGTTTTATAGTTTTTATCTTTTACCTCCTTAAGTTAATCTTAGCTATTTTATTTTTCCTGATGCTATTATAAATAGAATTGTTTCCTTAATGTTCTTTGTGGATTGTTCATTGTTAGAATATAGAAACACAACTTGTTTTTGTGTGTTGATTTTATATCCTGCTACTTTGCTGAATTGCATAGTGTTTTAAGTGTTTTCATAATTCCCAGGATGTTTTTCCTGTGGCAGATTGTTTCCAAGTTGAAGGATGAAATAATTCTAATAGAGAAAGAGCGCGCAGACCTTCAGCTGCACATGGCAAGGACGGATTGGTGGTGTGAGAACCTTGGCATGTGGAACGCCGCCATCACCAGCGGAGAGGTGGGTTTGCTGCCGCTCCCTTTCTAACACAGGGTTTTGTCCCAGAGAATTAGATTGAGTATAGGACCTTAAACTCATTCTTTCAGATTACACCTGTCCTACTTGCCCTCCCCCATGTTTTCCCTCCAGGCCACCCTTCACTGAGAGCTGCACTTGGGTGCCTGCTATGGCTCCCATCTCACTCCACTTCTAATAAAAAGTTATCCTCATTCACCAGAGTCATAATTAACTTTTCGTATAGGAACATTTAATATCCTTGAATTACCAATTTATTTTTTTCTTTGAGAGTTGAAATAATATGGAAAACTTTTTCTTTTTTTGAGACAAAATCTCACTCTGTTACCCTGAATAGAGTGCCTTGGCATCATCATAGCTCACAGCAACCTCAAACTCAGGGCTTAAGGGATCCTCCGGCCTCAGCTTCTGGTAGCTGGGACCATGCTAGTTTTTCTATTTTAGTAGAGACAAGGTCTCATTCTTGGCTCAGGCAAGAACTTCTGAGCTCAAGGGACCCTCCTTCCTCCACCATCCAGAGTGCTGGGATTATAGGTGTGAGCCAATGCTCCCTGCCTTGGAAAGCACTTTTTGAAATTTGGAGATGAAAAATTGAAAATTTAAATGCATTGATTATTCTATCCTTCTGACTTCAAATGCTTAAATCTCAAGAGCTCTAAAACCTTTAATAGTAAGTATTTTCCCTTTGAATTATTTTGCTGTTCTTTGAGGGATACAGGGTAAGTTTGCAGAATGTACTGTATCCCTTTTCATTTGTTTATAAAAATAATTTCCTTTAATAGGGCATGAAGAGGGGATACTCCATGAGGCATTTTGCCCTGGAAGTCACTTGTTGCTCATGAGCTGCTGTGGCACCTTGGTCATTGAAAAAACAACAGGAATGGAGAGTGAGGGGTCCCCTCCCTGCCATAGCTCACAGAGCAGTCCCACGAGGGATTGTGTGGAAGATGTGTCTTCATGGAGCCAGACTTCTGAATTCTGTCACTTCTGACTCCCCGCAAGGGAAGACCTAGGAGAGTCAGTTACCCTGCCGGTGCCTCTCCTTCCCATCTTTACAGTGAGACAGTAATCCTGCCTCACTGGGCTCAGCAAACTTTGCATCTTCCCTTTGCCTTTTGCATTGAGTCTTTTTAGTTCGTTTAAGGATACTAATTCAAACTTAAATTCAGTGTATTTTCTATTTGATTTTTCTCTTATCTATTTACGTTAATAGTAGCCTATTCTGAATTATGTCCGTAGTGGCCTGGTCTGAATTGTGTGTGTGCACACAGGCATGTGTGTATGTGAATTATCTAAGTTGGGAGAGAGGTAAAGAAAATTATGTTTCTTAATGTAAAATTTCGTGAGAAGAAAAATGATGTTTTATTGAATCCTCCCATGGATGTATCTCATACCTATTTGCTTGCTGCTAATTTGTTTTTTCAAGGAAACACAGGAGGTGAAGTCTGCTTTATTAGTTTTCTTTTGCTATGTAAAACATTTCATGGCTTAAAACTATACCTATTTATAAGTTTGCACCTCTGTAGGTCACAAGTCCAGCACAGGATGGCTGAGTTCCCTGCTCAGAGGCTGAATCAATATATTGGCCAGACTGAGTTCTTATCTGGAGACTCTGAGGAAAATCCACTTGCTAGCTTATTTAAGTTATTGGCAGAATCCAGTGCCTTGTGATTTGTTTCCTTGCTGGTTTCTTCTTTCTGACCTCCTTTCTATTACTCATCTGAAGAAATTTTCTGCTTTTAGGTTAGGCCTACCTGAACAGTTCCCCTGTTTTAAAGTCTGCTGTGCTATATCACAATGAAATTGCCAGAGTGAAATTTATCATATTCACAGTTCCAGCACTGTGCAGGGTGCACCAAGAGAGGAAAAACCTGAGGGGACATTTGCAAATCCTTCTGGCATATTCATGCTCTTTGTAATTGATTTTGATTTTTTTCCCCCCAAGATTACGGAAGAGAATGGTGAGCAGATGCCATGTTACTTTGTCATGGTAAGCCTACAAGAAGTCAGAGGAGTTGAAACTAAGAACTGGACCGTCCCAAGAAGGCTCAGTGAGTTTCAGAATTTACATCGGAAACTTAGTGAGGTATGAATATTTATAAACACAGGATTCCGGAATTGCTGAGCAAGAAGAGATTCAAGGGCTTGTTTCAGTTATTACACATAAAAACTGACTAATCTTTATCCTTTGCTGTTGATGCTACCAAAGTGGCATTTTCAGCCTGATATTTGGAAATTCACTCACAGATGAGACCATCTAGTTTAGGCCATGTTTGTCAGGATAGATAATTGTGTGATTATCATTGAAAACTGCCAGAGAACCCCTGAGTGGAAGAGACCCAGGGATCATCTAGGGCCAGTGGTTTTGAATCTGCCAGTTATGACCCATTAATGGGGTAGTGAAATCAATCATGAGTTACTACAATAGAAAGAGAACAGAATATAGCAGATTTTATCATGTTATCTAAGAGAGGCAGCAAAGTGGTGGCTGAAAGCATAATCTCTAATGACAAACTGCTGAGCTTTGAATCTTAGCGCTACTGTTTACACCTGTGTGGCCTGGGATGTGACCCTCGAGTCTCTTTGTACCTCTATTCTTGATCATTGAAGTACAAATATTAATAGCACCTACCCAGGGGGTTGTTGGGAGAATTAAGGGAATAATATATGCAAAGAATGTGTGGCACAGTAAATATGGTTGTAGTTTTTGTTGTTAGTAGCAGCAGTAATGAGCGTTGTGTAGAATTTTTGTTTTACATATTTATGTGTATACGCATGTGCATTAGGGGTTGCAATATAGCATGAAGCTCCTACTCTGGGCTCTGGTTTAAAATGTTCCCAAGCCACCAATGTAGGTCTTTTTTTTTAATTTGATAGAGGAGAGCAATGGATCCCAAAGCATAACTGACTTTTCACAGGATGTATATACAGTGGCCAAATTAGGATTGAATCTTTTTTTTATTCTTCCCACTTTTCCTCAGTAACTGTATTTTCTCTAATCCACCTCCTAAAGGTAACTGGCCTTTACTCCCACAATGAAAAGGTCTTCAGTCTTGGTGCCCATAGCACAGTGGTTA